ACACGGTGATTGACAGGTCTCTACCAGAGACGTATATGGCGTCTCTATGTCACTCCTCCTCAGTCCAGATATGGTCACTTCCTGTTCACTGGTTGCAAAAAAAACGGACTCTTCTCCCGTCTCCCTCGTCAGTTAACGCTCATCAGATGCATGATGGGAACTCACATGGTCTTCTGTAAACGTCTCTTTTGGTTCATGTGTATATAGCCGAGTGAAGTTTAATGATTGTATCGAGTTTCCGCAGTTGAAGGGCTTTTATTTTGGTGAATGGTGTCAGTTTTATCATAAAATTCAAAATCCGACAACAAAAATATCTCGTCAGATTCGTGACGTTGTTGACTTATCAGATAGTTTCTGATTTAATTCATCATTTTGTCAATTTCAGACTCAACGTTTAGTCGATTGGCTGAAAATGATTCTGATCATTTATCGTTTTAGTTTTAGTCACATTCTGTTTCCAGCGGTTCCAGTGAGATAATTTACTACTTTTATCTGTTTATGACTGTAAAGTGAACATTCTGGGGGTTTTGGATTGTTGAAAGATGAATTGATAATTTAAATATTGTTTAGTTAAGACCTCATTTTATTTAATTTTATAGGCAAAGTTGAAATATTCATATTTTAAACAACAACAACCTGTGACCTGTTGGTGTCTGTACTAAAACTAAAGTATAAATATTTTAAATGATAATGTTACGTTCACAACTCACCACGCTGCTGTCAATCATCATCATCATCATCATCATCATCATCGGGTCGCTTTCTTTAATTTATTTTCACAGTTTGATGTTCACCTGTAGAGGAAACGTAAGATTTTAGCTGGAGAAATAAAAATGTGTGCGCACAGTTTAGATAAATGACACACACACACACACACACACACACACACACACACACACACAGTGATACATCAGCTGACATGTGTTTTGTCTGAGGCAGGATGTTCAGCAGGATGTGAAGCTTAACTTTAACTTTATTTACTCTGAACAAAGATTATTTTAAGAAACCGGTTGTCCGTCGGTGGGATCTGCTACGTGAGGACTCCATTACCCAGAAGTCCTGTCACCTGATTTCCTTAAACTGAACTCACACGTGTTTCTACAACCTGCAGGAACATTATTCAAAAAGTGTTTTTATTTATAAATCTTAAAAAATCTGCAATAAACAACCTTTTGAAGACTGTCTTGGTTTATTTTTATTTGGTGTTGATGTTAATTTCGGCTCTTTTCTTCTTCTGTGGTGGATTTTCTGTCTGTATGAACTGTTTAAAAACAACAGCTGGAGACAAAGTTTGATGTTTCTGCTCGCAGACGTGTGTAAAACTCTTTAATGACATAATTCAAGCACTCAAATTAATTAATGAAACTCTTTAATCAATAACTCTGGAATGAACTTCATGCTCTTGATTTAATAAATTCATGCACTTGAATGACTTAATTCATGCTCTTGATTTGATAAATAACTTGAATTTGAAAATTTGTAGCCTCGAATGACTTAATACGAGCTCTTGTATGTCACAATTCAAGCTCTCGAATTTATGAATTTTGCTCCCAAATGACTTCATTCGCAGTCTTTAATTATTAATTTGTGCTCTCGAAATGAATAAATCATGACCTCTAAAGACTTAATACTTGCTTTCAAAATACTAATAATTTCAAATGATGTAATTATATACTCTCAAATAGCTTCACCGTGCTCTCAAGTCTCCACTTCAGTCAGAAATCTGCGTCTCTGTTGAGCGGGACAACAGGGAGTGCTGGTGGTGCATTCACTGACCTGTCAGCTGCTCGGGAAATCTTCCAGAAGGAGGCAGACGGTTAACCAGCAGGTGGCAGCACAGAGCCACAGAGACAACAGCAGACTGAGGAGAAGCAACACAAAGGGCTTAGTTCTGGTCTGTTGTACCGTTTAAAAGAACTGATCATGTGGTAATCCTACCCGAGCATTGAAAGTTTAAGTAGGAAATGTAAAGAAAAATACATGAAAAGGTTTAGTGCTCCTTCAAAATAAAGGTTACAGGGAAAGTCCCCAACAAAAACACCACCGATTCATTTCAGTTTCACATCAACATGCACAAAAAAAAAGTCTCGGTTATGAATTCCCAAGTTAAGGACGACAAGTCCTACAAGTTAAGAACAAGTCCCGAGTTGAGACCAACAAGTCGCACAATTTAAGACCAACAAGTTCTACAAGTCAAGACCAACAAGTCCCACAAGTCAAGACCAACAAGTGTCTGAGTAAAATCCCTAGTCAAAACCAATGACACCCAAGTCAAGTCTCAAGTGAAGACCAATAAGTTGCAAATGAAAACTAGCAAACCCTGATTGAAGACAACAAGTCTAAAGAGAAGACCAACAAGTGCCCGAGTCAAGTCCCCAGTCCTGAGTCAACGCCCATAATTTAAGAGTAATACGCTCCAAGTCAAGTTCCCAGTTAACCCTAAAAAGTCCCAAGTCAAGTCCCAAGTTAAGACGAGTCACAAGTCAAGTTTAAGACTTGACCAAAAAGTCCAAAGTCAAGTAACAAAGGAATCCAAACAAGTCCTGAGAGAACTCCTGCGTCAGACTTAACGATCCTAATTTCAATCATGAATCACTAGAAGTTACAATTTAAGTCTGAAGTCTGACTCCAAACCTCTGGTATAAACACATTTTTGGTCAAATATAAAAACGTCTCAGATCTTTATGTTACTGCAGTCGCGTTGGTTTGTTTTTTATAATTATTTATTTTTCTACACGTGTTGTCAGAAGCTGTGATGTTGTGTAACGTCTTTCTGGTCACATTTCCTGTCGTATTAATTTCCCCTTATATGGTTTCCCTCCTTCATAACTCCTCCCCTCCAACCACGTCCCGTGTCTCTGCTCAGGGGACAAACCGCCATCACCGATTGGTCAGAAGATAAACTGACACACACCTGACATCATTTTGACAAACCGGTGACTTTACAAACTGTTTTGTTTGTCTGTAAGTATCTTTAAGAACTGTTTCACATCCCAGAATGTTGCCCGCACCAAGTCCACCGTTCAGAAGCTCATTCAGAAACCTGTTGTTTCTGTTGTGGTGTGTTCTTCTTGTTCTTCGGCCCTCAAACTCACCAGATTCTCCTCTTATGCAACCAGTGACACGTTGGTTAAAACTCTTTAGAAGTGAAGGAACACAAAAGGAGAAATGAAAGTTGAGTGACTCAACTTCCCTTCAGAGCGAAGGAGACTTCCTGCAGAGCAACAACAGCCTGCAGGTTCCTCAAGAGGAGCTGGACCACCCACACTAACAGGGGGTGGACTAAATAACAGAAACACCCAAAAGGTGTGACACAAAGCTCAACGGGAGGCGCTGGAGACGTTTCAGTGACTTATTCCACCGTTGATAAAAAGCGTTTTTGTCTTATTAGAAATGAAACAGCCGCATTGCATTCTGGAAGAATAACTCAAATGCAACAAAAAATGGAATTTAATTTTAAATTTTAGGGACAATTTTGGTGCATTTTAGTACACACATTAAAAACTATCCACCAGATAGTTGATGTTTAGGTGGATGTCTTTCAACCTGCAGACGTAAAATGTGCTGCAGAGAGATAATCCGTGTTATGTTTGTGAGTTTTTTGTTTACATGTCACGAGGTAATAAGCAACAACTGTTAAAGTTGATGTGATGTTGATCGCAACGAATCATCTGCAGCGAGACAAGAATCTGACTTTCATTCAAATAAAAGCAAATCAACAGAAGTTTGGTGGTGGGAGACAAAATAAAGACATTTAAAACACAACCGTTTAGAAAATAATCTACAATAATGTTAGTTTGACTGTGATGAGATCACGTGATCTGTTTGAAATAACGTCTTTTTAAAATCAGACATTTTTAACAAACCAAAGTGTATTTTAAAATTCTGCTCAAATCAATATGAAAATGACTCTACTTCTCTCTTGATTTATTACCTCAGTAAACATTGTAAACATGAGTTTATGGTCTCAATCTCTAGTTTCAAGTCTTCTTCAATACAGCATGATGTTCATTTAGTACATTATGGTCCATTTAGAGTCACACAGACCATAAAGCAGGGGATGCTTTAGGACGGGGCTACACAGTGATTGACAGGTCGCTACCAGAGACTATACGGCGTCTCTACGTCACTCCTCCTCAGTCCAGATATGGTCACTTCCTGTTCACTGGTTGCAAAAAAAACCAAGATGGCGACGGCCAAACGGCGAACTCGAGGCTTCAAAAACGTCCACAAACCAACGAGAGACGTCACGGCGACTACGTCCTCTTCTGATAAACAGTCTTTACTGGAACCTTTGGTGTGAAAGAGGCTTCACTGGTTATTTACTACGTTGTGTTCATTGTTTACTGCTCGCCAACTTCCTGTATTTTCTGTGGCGGTTTGAACACAAATCAAATGTTGTTAATCAACATGCCGAAGAAGAGAGAAACGATCACGTGACTGAACATGAGCTGCTCTCTCTCTCTCACTATGTGTCTGTAGTGACTCTGCTTCTATATTTAACCTGCAGGCCATCTCTCTGTCTCTCTCAGTCTCCCTCTGTTTCTGTCTCTCACCCTCTCTCTCACCCTCTCTCTCACCCTCTCTCTCTTTCACACGTCCTCGACATAAAGGAGGCAGCCAAGAGACGACGAGCAGGATGGAGGTAAAAACTTCTTCTCATGTTTCTCTGCTGCTGTTTGTTGTTTGTTTCTTCTTACATGTAGAATCACTCTCACTGCACTTAATTACATTTCTGCTCATTTTGTTTTTGTTGTTTTTGTGATATATGATATTAAATAAATTTGCAGGTTATATTTTCTGAGATAAGGCGTGTCGTCAGGTCATTTAGTCTCTGTATTCTAGTTGGATTTGTACATTAATGTAACGTTTTGCAGTTTAATGAATTGCAACAGTTGTGTTTTCTGCAGCGAGAAAAGTACAGATTTGCTTTATTTCATAAAATGTCAAATATTAATATAAATAGTACACAAAAATAAAATAAATCTCCATTTTCACGC